TGGTAAAAAAAAAATATTTCAATGAAATTAAAATATACAGTATTTAAACCATTCCTTTTTCTGTTCATATTGTAACTGTTTACTGGAAATTCTGATTATCGGCATATAGTTACATATAGTTCCTATTACTACACATTTAGTAAAAAAAATACAAAACTGAAAAGAAAATTTAACCGAACAAATGGTTTTTATGCCCTGTTCTGAGGTTTCATGGTGCAATTACTCAATGTTAAAAAATTAACTATATTTTATCAATCGCATATTATAAAACTATATTTTACTTTAAATTTTTTTAAAAATCATTACCGAAGTGCTTTGGTAAAAATTATTGAGCTTTGTGGTGCTTCCATGCAACCAGAAACACAGTAAATACTAGTATATTCTGATAGCTTTGATCATGCTTTTTTTTCTCAGTGTAAATATATAACTAATGGTGTTTTATTAAAATTTTTTATCAATGTCAACAAATGGTGTTCTTGCATCTATTTCTTATAGTTAGGAGATAAATTTTGATATGTTTAAATCAAAAGACGTTTTATAAAAAAATCGTAAAAAGATGAATTAAAAGAATTTAAATTATGAACTAATGAAATATTATTTATAGAAAACCTGATCCCAATACATGATTTTTATCTTTAAGCATGATATTTAGGTAACAATAAAAATTATATTAAAAACATATGAGAAAATATGTTTACTAAGCGTCTTCTACTAAGAAAGAATTCTTTAAGTTGATAAATTTTTAGAACATTAAAAAAATGTCATGTTCATAGGGTTTCCATAGTTTATTTTTGATATTTAAATAAATTATAGAATAGGTTGCACGTTTCAAATCGCGGGTAAGAAACTTTATCATTGTACAAAAAGCTTTTCCCCACAATAAAATTAAAATGTATTTATTCATCGATTTATTTTTACTGGATAATCAATGTAAAAAGAACTGCATCTTATTTTTTATACAATAATAAAAAAAAAATGAATCCCTAAAAGTAAAAGAAATTTCGGTGCTTGAAACAGCGATCCAAATATGTATATAAAATCCAGAAAAAATTAAGCATATTTTTCATTGGTTACGAGCTCCTAATATGTATACTAACATGTAAACTTCTCCCAAGGTGTATAATATCTTGCACATAAACGTAATCAATTTCTTTCATTATTCATTCACAAATATCTCATATTAAGTATCTTTTAATCAACTCAAATTTAAAATCTCCCGTAACAAAAAGATGTTTTGTATTTCGACTTGACTCCAATATGGATAACAGTTTCGTGCTCATCTATTTTAAGTCTCTAAAAAACTTTTCACTCATTTGAAGTATTTAGGAATCATTATAGGTATTGAGGAAGTCTCTTTTCTCTTCATAAAAGGAAAACTCGACGAATTGTAGAGTTATTTTAATTATGAAATAACAGTGAAGACTAATTATTTATTGCTACACAACATAGCTAAATTTATTTTTAAATGAAGAATTTAACGTTTAATTTAACGTTTTAAATTAATGTTTTGTTTCTTAAAATTGAAAATGACAATTCCTCCAAAAGAAGATGATTTTGGAAGAATTGTGCAAATGCATGACAGTTAAATGGCTTTACGTCTTTATTAAATTACAATACATTGTTAAATATTTGCTCAAGTAAGTTTTATCAAATATTCATAGTAAAGGGAGGTTAGATATTTGAATTTATCCAAAAATTGGTTTTAGGAGCTTCTAGGTCTTAAAAACTGATTTCAAAATCTCTGATGTTGGGTGGTTTTCAATATTATTGTCGGGCAATTAGGTATGTAGATCAAGGGTTCTTGCCGTATAAAAATTATTATATTTTTTTTCCTGTATGAAAGTTATTAAGTATTCTAACTGATGTTATTGTGTTAAAACAAATTTAAATATTATTTGTATTATTGTGTTTAAATTGTGTTAAAACAATTTGTGTTTACAAATTTAGAAATTCATCTTAAAGTAACATTGCAACTTCGGATTCTAACGGTTTCATTAAAATATTGAGTGTTAAACATTGACTTTATTGTGCTTGAATTTATAAATTGACTGTGTGCAAGAAATTAAAAAAAAAATTAAAATAAAGAAATTCATCTAAAATTAATCTTTAAAAATTTCATTTGCTATTTTTTGTGTGTCCAAAGCTTGTATCATTTCATAAGATTTTAAATCTTTTGATTTCTTAGTTGTTATCGTCCTATCAAGTATTTTTATAGCTCAAAAAGAGGTTAGGTTGGGTGTTTCTCTCGATAATCATTCCATTGTCTTCTGAGTTGAAGTTTGAAGGCTCAAAACCAGCCGGAACACTTTCCACGTGGTTTAGTTTTTCGCAGTGTTAAAATTATTCTTTCCAACACATAACTCAATGTTAGTCATTCAGCGTTCCACATTGATGTGGTTGTATTTGAATTTATAAACATTTTCAAAAAATAAACATGAAAAAAAAAATACTTGAAATGAGCTTTAAAAAATAATCTCACCTGCCTAACGAGTTTCTTCTGAGCCAGTACCAAAGATCATCTCTAAACACTACGTAACAAAACGCAACTGAATATCGCGCCTCAAAGTTACAAAGCCGCGTCACATTCAACAGTTTAACAAAAATGCAACCAGAAACCTCACACAACATAAAAGCTCTTCATGTTTGGAAATATCTGTCGCTATAAACAAGGCGATTTGATAAGTAAATGACCTTTGCTTAGCCAATCCGCTCGGCTCTGGGGTTTCAGAATTCTTTACGAGCCCCGCTTTCCCTTTTTCAAGAATTTTATGACCCTTCCTTTGAAAATGGGTTTGAAGAGGAGACTATTTGACCATTCCAGACAATTGCCCTAGAACATGCGACCCTCTTCCATCAACGCAGGTGATCACTTCTCTTAATGAGGGGGTCTAGACCCCCTACCTGTGTCCCCAACAATTTCATGACTAGGATAATGGTTTGGGTGATGATTATTAGGAAGTTATAACACACACCAGGGAATATACAAGGGTGGTGAAAGAGGGGAAATGAAATTTCTATAAAAAGTTGAAATCCCACCGGTTGTTTAAATTGTTTGTTGTTTAAATTTTTAGATTCACATTTTTTAAAGAAACATAATTTTCGATTAAATATATAGTAGAACAATTGCTTAAACGCTTTTTATTTTATGTTGGTTGCATTGAGAAATTGGAATTAAAAAAAGAACACATAAGTAAAAAAAAAAAAGAAAACGAATTTTTAAAAATTATTTGAGTTTGACACTTTTTTAAACTTGTTATTTAAAACCTTTGATTTAGATTTTAAAACTAATGCACTTTATTTTGTTCTACTGTGGAGTTTTTTGTTCTACAGTGTTATAATTGAAGTATCCGTAGAAAAAAAATGCGAATATTTTCAGTTTAGATTGGGTACCATATAAAATTTACCAAAAAATGTTTTCCATTAAAGAAAAATGTTTTAATGCTTATAGTATTTATTTATTTCCAAATAAAATCGTGAAGGGTTACATTAATATTTTAGAAATACCTGATTCCCGATTTTATTGTAATAAATGTAAGGATGTGTAAAATAAACATGTAATGAAAAAAAGTTAAAATATTATTTATAAAGGTGAGTAAATACCGGATAGATTATTAAAAAGTGAGAAAACGTAAGCAACGATGAAATTACAAAATATTAAAACAGTATTTCAAGAGAAGAGAACATTCCTGATAACTTCATATGTGGGGGACTATGTAAGACAAACATTAAGTTACAAACACGATAAAATAATAATTACAGATGGAAAACAAATCTAGTACATTTTTTAAAGAGAGAATGTTTGTAAAGAAACAAAACTCAATATCAAATGTTTCCTTCACAGTGTATAGTTTACTAACCTTTTATCAAACTTCTTATGGTTAAATAATTATGGTGTTTAATATTTCAAAAAATTAAAATTATAGCTCTCCTTTATTTCTAATTTCAATCTTAAAATATTTACTATCAAAAGAGATATAGTGTCCTTTTTATTATTGATATTTTTAAGCTTTAGGTTTTAAATATATTTTAACAACGAACTCTTAAAAATAAAAACTTAGCAGAAAATGAATGATAATTTTACTGGTGATTAATCTATAAATGTCGCAAATTTCTTTCTAAATTTTTAATCAGAAAATTTAATACTTGATTTCAGTCGTGATTTTGTTTGCTTTCTTTGTATAATTAAATGCTTTCATAAAGATGTTGCAATGAAATTGCAACTTAATTTTCTTAAATATTTCGAAATGATGCTTGGAAACTTGACAGAAAATTAGTTCATAAAATATGAGTATAAATAATTGTAGAGGTATTCAAAAAACATCACAATAATCTTTTTAATTCACACCTGCATATCTTTCATGTGTTTTTCTATCAGAAAAAGATTTTGCTAATTCTTTTCAAAATATCACTTTTAAAATAGCAGATTCATGTTGTTGTTTTTTTCATTATCTTTCTTTATATAAATATATTTGATACTTTAAAACCGATTCAGGGAAGTGGTTTATATTATATAATCTGCTGATTCCATTTATGATATTACATAAACTGCGCATTGCTGTCGGGGGTGTAGCTCAGTGGTAGAGCGCTCGCTTCGCATGCGAGATGTCCTGGGTTCAAATCCCAGCTCCTCCAAGTCTCCTGTAGAGTTCAAAATTTTACTCCAATGCAATTTCAAATCAATTATTAAAACTATTTTTTTATTTTTTTTTATTGATTTTTGAAGCAATTTTTAGTTATTACTTATAATCATTATATTTTTTAATTTTGTTTTCAGAACGTGGGTTACGTTACACACTTTTGCAACATTTAACATTTATGATAATTTTCGAAACATAATTTATTGCTTTTGAATACATCTATCTGCTTTCTTTTCTAAGTTTCAAACTATGTGAAGAAAGTATAAGAAAAAAACATTTCATTTAAAACATAAAATCAATTCTAAAAATATTTTTTCTAATTAAATTACGCTTGAATATAAATTTCTTTTTTTTCATCTGAAGTAGGAACCATTCTCTGATTGGTGCACATCTGTTTTGAAGCAAAGCAGGGGGAACGAAGCGGGAGGAAGACAGGCCATTATTCACAGAAGGGGATCCACATTTCTTTTCAGCCCTCTTCAGCCAATAGAAGACCATTTCAGCTCCAGTCCTTGAATTCGGAATGAGGTGAGATTTTAAAAGGAATGATTAATGAATAGATAATTCTAATTCTTTATTTTCTCTTATGAAGGGGACAAAAATTGATTAGTTGACTTCGAAATGGATGATTTGAAGCATCGCTGATGAAAAGATCGATTCACTGCAGTGAAAAGGAATTCGTTTGGCTAAAATTTTTAATATATATTCATTAATGAAGTATTTGAGAGTATATTGCAACGTTTTTCAAATTAGAGAATGCTTTATTCTTCTTAATGTTATTACACTATTACCTTACAAGTCAGCATCCAGACGCGTTTTTAACCTCTTTAACTATACATTTATTGATTTGAAAAATCATTTAAATTAATGCAAATTTATTCATGTTTCGTCATTAGTCATTTATTAATTTGAAGGAGTATTTATTATTTTATAAAAGATCTTCGAGTAATAGTATGACTTATCAGTGCTAAAATTTTTAGTTTCATTTCACTGTTGTTACATTACCAAATCAGCCACCAAACAAGCACTTAAACACCCATGGATTTAAATTTAAAATATTTAACTTTTTGTCACTAAAGCTTAAACGAAATTAAATATTCAAAAAAAAATTTTTTTAATCGATTTATTTATTTTAAGAAGTATTCAAAACTTTGTTTCAGAGTTACTTACATAAGACAACGCTGCATTTCATTTTATTCTAACATAATTTGTTGTCTCATATAAAAAAAAAGCATACAGTTAGTTTTTTTTATTCCATTGGGTTAAAATCCCTAAGAGATTTAAACCCATAAGAGATTCATAAGTTAAATGCTTAGTTTCTTAAGATTGCGCTCATTATAATCGCATTTACTGTCACATTTAATTTAATTCAGACAATTTTAGCTACATTATTGATTTCATTATTTTAATTACCTCGTACAATATTTTATAACTTTATAGTTAAAATTCTAAAATTTCATCGTTCGTGTTCGTTCCTAAATTTCACCGTCCAATGCTGAAAATTATAGAAATTCATTAGAAATTTCGCAGAGATTCTAGGCTTTCATTTCAGTTTCAAATACTTAAATTTTGATCATAAAATTGTTCAGCTATAACTTCTATAACTGTTTGGCCAACACAAAATGAATAAAAATAAATAAATTAAAAAAGTATATAGTAAAAGGCACCACAGTAATAATCGTATGATTTTGGGGTCGTTGATTAATTTATTGTTGTTAAATATTTATATGAATGTAATGTGATATTTTTTTTAAAAAAAATGGCGAAATTCGAAGATAAAATTATAAATCTGTGGAAAGGATATTATTAGACTTCTTGCTTTTACCAAATGATTAGAATTCTTTAAGAAGCTCTAAGAATTTTTAAGTGGTAATAATGAAGCTTATCTTATTGGAAAAAGAGTTCACCTGAAAAAGAAAATACTGCAGACAGCACAGGAATTAAAGCACATCGGAGAAAAGAGCTTCGAAAAAAAAAAACGCATCGGGTTAATTATATAATAGTAACAGTACAATTGATACGGTCCGTAGAGCAAAATTTTAATATTTAGTATATATATATATATATANATATATATATACTTTTAATATCAGATATTTATATATATCTGATATTAAAAGTAGCGTTCAATAGCTTTCAAGTGATCAAGTTAAACTCTGTGTTTTTTAATTGTTTTGAAATAATACCTAGTTTTGTTCGAGGAAATATTTAACTACATTAAATTCGATTTTAAGCGACTCGAATTTAATCGGTCGTTGCATTTATGAAAAATGAGGTTCTTTTTAATTTTTTTTTTTTTTAAAAATCCAGTGCTCTTTTTTCAGAAGCTTTTTTCCCGGGTTTTTGTCTGAGTGTTTTTTTTTTTTCCTTGATTCATCGTATTGTGATAGTATAGTAATTGCAGACAAATAATACTTTCCACTAGAATTTTGTTAGAATTATGTTAAAATGATACATTGCAACATTTCTGTTAATAGTTTTAACCTTCACAAGATTTACCCCGAGAGATTATCATTAATTGATGAATGTACTATTATAGGTAAAACATAAAATATTAAAAATTTCTTAGACGTAAAATTCCAAATTAATAGCTGTGTCCTCTATTATTTTTTAAAAAATACTATTAATGAAATTTGAGCAAATACCTAATTGCATTGAATTCGTTATTAGTCATAGACCATTCAATTTTTGAAGTGGTGCTTTTTTTACCCGTGATTTTTGACCGACAGCTTATTTTTCCTAGATTATTTTAACTTCGTGTATTACTGTTTAGCGATGATTGCTTTGAAATAATAGTTTAAAAAAGGCCTTTATTGACTTACAAAATTCATTTCTGAGCTTATGTCACCAAAATAAAATTAATATTGAACAACGCTTCATGTAGTTGAAATAACTGTATAAGGAAAAAAAAACCAGGTGTAGATGAAAAAGTTAATAGGCGAGATTCAAAAGACATCTTGAATAATAAGATTGATAGATTTCATATTCATTTTTATTATCATACAGTTTCTAGAAAATTATCGAAAAATCTATTTATTATTAAAAAAATAGTCTCTAATTTAACGGACTGTAACTACATTAATAGAAATTTTTTGAAAATTTTAAACTCTAAAATCATTGCCAAAATTTGACTTTGAAATAATACAAGTATTTTCAAAAAAAAATTATTTTTAATAGAAAATACGTTTTAAACTGCAAATAATACTTATAGTCTGATATAAATAGTGAAATGAACTGATATTTTAAGTTTAAAGTTTGCGTTTCCTAAAATAAAGGGATATTTTAATTTACCTGTTTACATTACATTTTCTTACCTGTTCACAATTTCTTGCATCATCGGCTACTGTTTAATTAAGTTTACTCTTGTTTAAAGAATTTCTTTTATTTCATAATATTTAATTATTAAATATAATATTTAATAATTATTTTGGAATGTTTTCTGAAGGAGCTTCATTTCCTTTCAGATATAATTTAAACACCTTAAAACGCCACTTTAAAAAAAAAAAAAAGCATATTGTTGACTTTAATTGTATACTGTTAACTTTAATTGTATATTGTTGACTATATTGCATAACATATATACGATAACATATAACCATTGTTTTCAAAAGTTTTAAGAATTATAAGATTGTTCATTATTAATATAATAAAGGATATTCAAATATGATAAAGGCTGTTCAAGCGTGTTACAATACATTAAAGCAGCAATTAAATAAATGATTCTTACTATACATAAAGCATTATCATTAATAAACAGTCTAGACATATATTTAACTTGGAATCATAAAAAAGAAACACCTGTAAAAAACAATGAGAACAAAAAATCATCGAAAAAACAGTTGTTTTTGACAATTTTTTTTTTCTTTTTTAATTTCTTAATAAATGTTACAATTTAAAAATACAACATAGCGAAAGTAATTTTGATTGAAAATAAAGTTTGTAATTGACAAAAATATATGTTTATTCAATTATCTAAAACTGTAAAAAGGAAAGTCTTTTTTTTTATTTATTCATTCATTATATTGTAAAACAATTGGAAATATTTTTAACTCTACACACGCTATCAGTTACGTAATTTTAGAGTAAATTAGCTGTGGAAATTGTGTTGCAAGTGATATAGATAAAATGAATCAACAGTTAAATACACATTATTATGATGTCATTATACCCATTTTTAGATGCGGCCTTGATATTTTTGGCTTGCTTTTCAGTTACTTCAAACTACGTACTTTTGTTTTTTTTTCTTTCCTCGCTTAAAAAAACGGAAAAATATAAATAAAATGAATTCATAACATTTGTATTGCTAGTGAAAATGGGCAGTAATGCGTCAAAAGGTAAAGAGAAAAGAAACTGTATTATAATGCTTGAAAAATGTGGTTTTTAATAATATTTACTTTAAAAAATTTATTTTGCCGTCTAACATTTTTTATTATTGATATTGAATTTTTTTATTTAATGAAATGTATGAAAATTCGATCAACAAAACTGAATCTTCTAATTAAAATAAAAAAAACCCGAACAAAAAGGTCTTTTAAAAGCCTTTTTTCCGACTAAGCAAGAGAATATAAAGCGTTTTAAAACTTATTTTAATATACTTATTCTAAGCAATTGTGATTTAATAACGTAAATGAATTAAGTTTTAATATAAAATAAGTGGAAAAAAATAGCAATTTAAAACATAAATTAAGAGGAATATTTTACTGATGTTCGATGTTTGAAAGCAAAAGGACTTAAAATTCTTCTAATATTTCAATCGATGCTTCCATTAATGGAGTTCCAGTTTTATGGGAAGAACGCATAGAAAGAAATGAAAAAAATTTAGAAAAATAAATTTTTATATACTATATAGAAAATTAAAACAGTTCAGCTTCATAAATATATGAGAGGCATTTTTTTGGAATTGATTTGAAATTTATTTGCTTTGATAGTGAAATATATTTTCTACATTCAAATTTATTAAGCTTAAGATTTTTCATATAGTTTTTTTTTATCTGATCACGAAGTTAACAAAAACTGAAAAGGTTTATATTTTAGAAAAATTAAATGTGCACTTCATTTATTTATGTGCACTTCATTTACAAAAGCTGTGTAAAATCACAAAATCTTTTTATATATCTTAGATATTTTGAAACAAATTGACCAATTTTAGTTGCTTTTTAAAAATTTTTTTTTCCTTACGTTTCAATTCAATGTCTTATAATTTAGAGACTAGAAAATTTCCTTTTATTTAATCTAATTCACTTTTAAAACATATTAAAATTAAAAAATTCAATATTTTGAGGCATTAAAAACTTGAAGAACAGATTTGAAATTTGAAGAACAGATTGAAACAGAAAGAGAAGCATAATTTGTGAATTTGTAACTTCTAAAAGAACGAAAGTGAAATGCTTAATATTACACTGTAAAAAATTTCGGACTAAATTGCGGTAAAAAGTACTGGCACCCTGAGTACATCATATGTAAAATAAATTTTTACAGAAAAATTTTATACCGGGGTTTTTACATTAGGGTTTATTTCCATATTTTCA